GGTCATTTTCAGGATATAGTAAATATTAACATTAAAAATAAACCTATTACTCTTTATGTTCTCCAATGTAATCTAAATAGCACAGCAATTTTTTGTTGTTGATAATCCTCACCTGAGGATATTTTATCCATTAATTATTAGAGTAGAAGGGAGGGAGGGAGGGAGAGAAAGAGAGAGAAGCATGGATGTGAGAGAGACACATCAATTGGTTGCCTCCCACACGCTCCCTGACCGGGCCGGATCAAACCTGCCATTTGTCGGTGTTCCGGCCGATGCTCCAACCACTGGGAACACCGGCCAGAGCAGCATAGCAATTTACCATTAAAAACTTACACGAATGAGCTGCTCTTTTACAGTTTAAATATTTGCCTTTTCTTCTTGAACTAGTATTCCCATTTCACTCCCCATACCCCCTCCCACTTTCTTTCTAATGTAATCTGTTTGTGCTGGGGGAGACTTTTCTGGAGCACCCGCCATGTGTCTGCACCACCGACATGGGTATATAAGTGTAAATTTAAACTTTTCTTTATTTCTTGTGACTATCTGCCTCTGATTAAAAGTTTCTTTTGCATTGAGCTATCATGACAATTATCAATAATATACAGTCGATCAAAACAACATTACAACATTTGATTGATAGTGATTACAAATAAAAGTAGAATTTTTTAGACTCATCTCTGGATGAGATAGAGCTTTATAGATATAGCTATAAATGCTGAGAAAGTTTGTTCTCACAAATAAACAGATGAGATTAGAAGGAGTTTTATTATAGCCATGTCACTCAAGTCTTTGAAATCCTTCCGAGTCTATATGCCAAAAAGCGCAGAGTGATATGTCATCAAAAGCTATTTTTAATGCCTATCCGCTGACAGTTCCATGAGGCCTTCCTTCAATTATTTTTAACACATGGAGCTGGAAACTGTTTGACTTTCAGACGCCGTTTGTTCCTTCACCTTTAAAACATCAATATTCCTAATTGTCCCTTTATTTGGAGCCCCGGGATTTTAGGCCCCAGGCATGTCCCACCCTGGACTTGGGCTGGGAGGGGCGTGTGTGCTTTTGGGGGAGCTCGGGGGCCGGGCAGTCCAGGGAAGAGTCCCTGCAGAGCTTGTAGGTCTGGAAGTTGATTTCTCAGACCTCTCTGACCCACAGCCCCTTGGGAAGCCCCAGGTGCCCCAGGGGAGGGGGGACCTGGTTTGGAGATTACTGATCTCCAGTGCTCTCCACAGCCTGCTCCAGCCCCATTCTCACTGGGTCCCTGAGGTGTGTGCTCCCCAAGGCCTGAACTACCTGCCTGAGCAGGACCCCTCCCAGGGGGCTGGCTTTAGGGTTTTCTCCAGGCTTTTGCACATGCCCTGTCCCCACTGTCTTCCCTCCCATTCCTGCACTGCCCTGTCAGGGTCCTTGATTAACCATCATCTCCTCCAGGAAGCCCACCCTGACCACTCCCCCAAGGAGGAGCTAGGTGCTGCCCCTTTGTTCCCCCTCACTGGCCTCTGTGCTGCACGATCCCCATACTCACCGCCTCTCCTCTGGTTGCGTCTCCTCCTCATCTCCCCACTAGACTGTGAGTCTGTAAGTGCAGGGCTGGTCTTGTTCACCTTTAACCCCCGGCATCCAGTGAGGGCCTGGCCGTGAGTAGGTACCAAAACTCTGGGATGATATTGACCAGTGACCATGGGCCCACCTGCCTCTCCCTCCTCCCCTGCCCCAGGTGCTCCTGTCCGACTGGCTTTGAAGGACCGACCTGTGGGGTGAACACAGACGACTGTGTGGAGCACGCATGTGCCAATGGAGGCGTCTGTGTGGACGGCACGGGCAACTACACTTGCCAGTGCCCCCTGCAGTATGCGGGTATGTGGGCATCGAGTGTCTGTGGGGAGGTGAGGGCTAGGGTGCATGCCCTGAACCCCATTCCCGTGACAGTTGGGGCCCTGCCTCAGCGTCGGCAGGAGGTTTCTGCTGGTGGCTGCCTGGCAGAGCGTGGGGGTTGGGGGGGACAGCTTCTCTCCTGCCTCTCCCTGGTTCTTTCTCCAGGAAGGGCCTGTGAGCAGCTGGTGGACTTCTGCTCCCCGGACTTGAACCCGTGTCAGCACGAGGCCCAGTGTGTGGGTACCCCGGATGGGCCCAGGTAGGTGTTGCCCATTTCCAGGGCCAGGGAAGGGCAGGGGCTGCCAAGTCACCTCCCCTCCATGCCAACCCCCTCCCCATCCTATTCCTCACCTGTCAAGTGGGTTTGGTCTCAGCCATGTGGGGTTCCTGTGAGTCAGGGTGGGGGTGGTTAAGGGGACAGCTTTGCTGCCAGCATGAGCTTGAATGGATGGCTTGCCCACTCTGAGCCTGTTTTCTCATCTGCGAGCTGGAGGCACCAGCAGCTTCCTCCTGGGTGGTGGTAAGCAGAGGATGAGCACATGCGTGGAAAGCACTTAGCTCCATGCCTGACCTCCCATCAATGCTCCATAAATAGCTGTTGTCATTCCAGACCCACAGTTTCTCATCCCCAGTCACAAAACCCACAGAATTCTGAAAACCAAAAATCAGTTTGATAGCAAAATCGGACCTGACCTGAACGTATCCTATATAATAAAAGGGTAATATGCAAATCGACCCAATGGCAGAACGACTGGTCGCTGTGATGTGCACTGACCACCAGGGTGCAGATGCTCAAGGTAGGAGCTGCCCCCTGGTGGTCAGTGTGCTCCCACAGGGCTCAAGGCTGGTGAGCGCAGTGGCGGGAGCCTCTCCAGCCTCCGTGGCAGTCGGATGTCCCCCAAGGGCTCCCAGACTGCGAGAGGGCATAGGCCAGGCTGAGGGACCTCCCCAGGGCACGAATCTTATGCACTGGGCCTCTAGTTTGGTAATAAAAGCAGAACACACAGCCCTAGCTGGTTTGGCTCAGTGGATAGATCACTGGCCTATGGACTGAAGGGTCCGGGTTCAATTCCGGTCAAGGGCATGTACCTTGGTTTCAGGTTCCATCTCATGTGGGAGGCAACCAATGTGTCTCTCTCACATCGATGTTTCTCTCTGTCTCCCCTTCCTTTCCATTCTCTCTAAAAATCAATGGGAAAATGTCCTTGGGTGAGGATTAACAAAATAAATAAAAATAAAAGCTGACCACAAGAATATGGGGCTACAGTCAACAGCCATCCATGTAGATTGTGCTGCAGAGCTGTGAACATGTTTGACTGAGGGGCTGCTCTCGATCCCACTGGCATGTTACACAATATACAGTTGTAGGCACTGTATTACCTTTTAAAAATCCTCCTGTTTGGCCTCAGGAAAAGGGTTTCTTGACTGTTGTTTCCGTCGTTGTTACTGGCATACATGGAAGTGCTTTGTCACCTCAAGACTGCGTGTGATATGAAGGTCATGGGGTTTTAGGATGTTGCTCCCATCTGTAGTTTTCAAACATAGTGTCAGTTCTGGGACCCTGGTTCCACCAGTCGGGGCTGGGCTCCTTGTAGTCTGTGGCTGAGGGACCAACCCCAGCCACTCAGGCCAGGGTCGGGGGATGGAGTCACCATGGAGCTGAGGCCCCTGGGCAGAGGGAGAGCCAGGGGATGTTAGAGGCCTGGCTGTGAGATCGAGAGGCGACGTGGGAGCCTCCGTCCAAACGGTGGGCATCCTGCCTTCCTGGGTGAGCTGGCACGGAAGACGGGTGGGATTGGCACAGAGACCAAGGAGCAGTGGCAGATCAAGAGGCATGCCCGCTCCTCACAGAGGCTGGGCCTCAGGTGGATAAAGCGAGGCTGCACACTGTCACGCACACTCTGCTGGGGTAGTCCCTCCCACCGCACAGGTGAGCACATACAGTGGGGGAGGTGCTTGTTCTCTCAACTTCCTGTTTGGGAGGAAAGATGGACAGATGCTCAGCTGTGCTTGGCATTGTACCTGGAACCCAGCAAGTATTCAGTACATTCGTTGAATGAATGCATGAATGAATGAATGAATGAATGAATATGAAGGAATGGGTGATGGCTTAGGTACTGAAACAGTCTTCAGACTGCTGCTCAAGACCCAATAGGGACTTGTGATTAATGGGCAGGTCAAGGTTAACTTAAAAAAATGAAACAGAAAACATCAGAGAGCATCATATCATTTTATACACTAAGGATAAGTATGATTTCAGGTGTGTGTGTGTGTGTGTGTACTGGTAGAAGGGTATTTCTTGCAGCCTGAAAAACACTGGGAATGAGTAAAAAATCTAGGCAGGGGCACCCACCTGCCAGATTGTTCAATTTGCAATTTGCAGTCTGCAGTTTGGAAGGGTTTCCAGCAAAGGTTTGCTCAGTGACACCAGGGGCTTCTCAGAGGAGGTGAGGGCTTGGCCTGGCCGGAATGAGGCAGGGAGAGAGGAAAGGGTATTCCAGAACCAGCAGGGGTGAAGGGAAGGGAGTGAAGGCGGGAGTGCTGGTGGCCTGGGGGTTGCTGCCAGTGGCGAAGGCCTGAGCATCTTGCAAGGGGGTGGAGGAGTGTGCCCTTTACTTGATAGGACTGGATTGGATTTTTGGCCGGAATGGATTTTGGGGTGAGCAGTGAGGCACAATGCAAGCAGGGAGCTGGAGGTTGGCTTGGAGTCAGACACTGGCAGAGAGGTGGGCACCTGCCCCGCTGGGGCCAGGAGGCTGGGCTGGTGGAGCTGGGGAAGCTGGGGTGGAGGGAAGCATGAGCCCCATGACGGGGAGCCGTGTGCTGAGCAGCTGGGTAGTTCCGGAAGGGGCTGCAGTTTGGCCCTGGATGTGCTGTTGGTGGTGAATCTGGGTTCTTCCTGACAAGATTCCCATCTCCTCCTGCTGCTGGGTGCCCACCCCCCAACCTAGAGCCCCATCAACTGCACAAGCTCTCCAAAGGGCCCCAGGACAGGCGGGGGCACCTTTATATCCAGGGCTCTGGTTGACCTCCGGGGGGACCCCATAGACCCCAGGGCCTCCAGGTTGTCTGTCACACACAGACCCCGGGCCCCGCAGGCTCGGGGCTGACTGCCTACCCGCCTCGCACCTCCAGGTGTGAGTGTGCACCCGGTTACTCCGGCGACAACTGCAGCGAGAACCAGGATGACTGCAGGGACCACCGCTGCCAGAACGGGGCCCAGTGCATCGACGACGTGAACAGCTACTCCTGCCTCTGTGCCGAGGGCTACAGGTGAGCGGCCTGCACACCCGCGAGGGCCCGACTCCTCCTAGCCGTGGGCCCGGGGCTGGCAGGAGCCCCAGACGTGGTTGGCGGGAGGGAGGGAGGGTGAGAGCCTGGGTGTCGGGTCCTGGCTTGAAGCGTCACCCGTCACAGCTGTGTGGCCTCGGGAAGTGCGTGCACAGGCAGCGGGTGCCTAGCCTTTTTGGTGGAGGGAGTGGGCGGCGGGTACAGATCAGTGGGCACGGCCCTCTCACTGCTCAGGGAGCCTCTGAAGTCACAACCTGCCATAAAGGTCACTGACATTTGCGTCTTGGCTCCTCTGGGAGGTTGGGAGGGGGGACCGACACCTGCCCTCCTTCTGACCACCCACCTCCCATGATCTGCTTGGGTTTTTTTTTTTTCCAGTTTTATTGAGCTGTAATTCACATACAATACATCTGATTAAAATGTGCAATTCAGTGGCTTTTAGTATATGTCCAGAGTTGTGCATTCATTTTAGAACTATCCATTTCAGAACATTTCATTACTCCAGAAACTCCACACCTCTTACCTGTCACCCCAAGTCTCCTCCATCTCAGCTCTAGGCAACCACTAGTCTGCTGGTATCTGTGTGTGTAGATTCGCTTGTTTTGGACATTTCATATGAACAGAAGTATACAGTCTGTGGTCCTTTATAACTGCCTTTCACTTAGCGTCATGTTTTTGAGGGTCATCCATGTGGTGGCAGGTGGCAGAACTTCACTCCTTTTTGTGGCTGAATAATATTCCGTTGTAGGGATCTACCACATGTGTTGATCCATCCATCTATTTGGACTGTTTACACTTTGGCTATTGTGGATAATAATGCTACAGATTGTTGTAGCCTGGATCAGAACTACCCTTGGTAGTAATGTTCCCTCTTTTCTTTATTTTGAGTCTTCCCTCTTTTGCTTGTTTTAAGTCTCAGTTTTCTTTTCTGTAAAATGAGACATGAGCAATTCTTTTTTAAAAAAATATATTTTATTGATTTTTTACAGAGAGGAAGGGAGAGAGATAGAGAGTCAAAAACATCAATGAGAGAGAAACATCGGTCAGCTGCCTGCTGCACACCCCCCACTGGGGATGTGCCCGCAACCAAGGTACATGCCCTTGACCGGAATCGAACCTGGGACCTTTCATTCCGAGGGCCGACGCTCTATCCACTGAGCCAAACCGGTTAGGACGACATGAGCAATTCTTAAACTTTAACGAGCACACGGGGTCACCTGGCATGATGTGAAAGAGCAGATGCAGTAGGTTTTCCATTTCTGACACCTGCCCAGGTGACATCGATGTTGCTGGTGCAGGGACCACACTTGTTTCTCACCACCCTTCTGGCCCTTAGTTCTCTCGGGAAAAGTGTCCATTAGCAGCATTTTCTGTCGCCTTAAGGATCCAGTTTCCCACGATGTTTAGTGAGCTTCTCTCCAGGACCTGGGGGAGGAAGAGGCCCTCTTCCCCTTGCCCTGCCCTGTCTGACCTGCGTCCTTTCCCTCCCAGTGGGCAGCTCTGTGAGACCCCTCCCCGCCCAGCTGCCCCCAGGAGCCCCTGCGAGGGGACTGAGTGCCAGAACGGGGCCCGTTGTGTGGACCAGGGCAGCCGGCCCGTGTGCCAGTGCCTCCCGGGCTTCGGCGGCCCCGAGTGTGAGAAGTTGCTCAGTGTCAACTTCGTGGACCGGGACACGTACCTGCAGTTCACGGACCTGCAGAACTGGCCGCGGGCCAACATCACCCTGCAGGTGGGTGCCCAGGGCGCCGGTCACAGAGGGGAGTCAGGCGGCGGGGGGCCCTGGCCTCAGGTCAGAGATTCAAGACACGTCCCTGCCCACGACAGTGGGGAGGCCCCTGTGTCGGTCAGAGTCTTGGATGTGGGTGTCAGCATCTCAGCTTGAAGTCGTTTAAGCAGAATTGGAAAGGTTATTGGCATATAAATCCAATCTCAAAGAGGCAGGAGCGGGAGGTGGTCTCATGGGTGACTAGATCCAGAAAACCAAGCTTACCAGGACCCTGTCCCACCATCTCTTGTCTCAACGACTCCTTGCTTCACCTCCAATGCGCGATGGGCTTTGTTTCATGTGCCTGGAGCGCGGCCAGGTTAACTCCCAGCTTATGTCTTTAACCACAAGTCCTTGTGGTCCCTTATTTTTCCATTTTATGTCTTAAATATCTACCTCCTGAGCAGTTCCTTCCAGGTTTGGGTGGCTCTGGCTGTCAGAGAGCCTTCCTGAACGTGTCCTCTCTGGAGGGGCCCCCCCACCTCCACCCCCAAGGCAGTTCCCCGAGGCCCACAGAGCGGCTGCCCCACAGCCCGTCTGCCTGTCTTCCCCGAGCAGGTGGTCTGAAGGGCTCTTACCTGCCTATCCTGGGATGTAGTTTCCAGGCCTCAGCTGGCCCATCTGCCCTCTGCTGCCTGGCCCTGGCCACACTGTCATTGGATAGGATTTAAAGCCGGGGCTGCCATGTCACCTGGGCAGGCAGGGGAGGGCAGTTCTGCACACAGCATCTCTCTTCCGATGGGGGCCCCCGTGTGCTCCGCCTACCAGCCTGTGCTGCTGCTGTGGGGGATGGGGTTGGAGAGACAGTGCCCTTGCTCACCAGGTCTCCACGGCAGAGGACAACGGGATCCTGCTGTACAACGGGGACAATGACCACATCGCCGTGGAGCTGTACCAGGGCCATGTGCGTGTCAGCTACGACCCTGGCAGCTACCCCAGCTCTGCCATCTACAGGTGGGGCTTCCTCAGGCCCGTCGGCCGCTCTCAGGGGTCTCCTGGGCCAAAAGCAGGTCATTAATGAAACCACCAGAACCTGGGCTGCCCGAGAGGAGCAGGCATTTGAACCATCGAGTACAGCCCAGCGCGGGTCCTTCCCCTCCCACCACCACCTCACAGGGCGCTCCTGGGTGGGGGGAGGAGACCGATTAGGTTGAAAACACCTGCCCCAAACGTCTCAGCTTTCCCCAGGGAGCAGGAGAGGCTGGGCCATAGCCCCCAGTCCCAGTCTCCCCCTGAGAGATGTGGTCCCTTGGGAAGCAGCTGCTGGACCCATGGCAGGGTGTCCAGGAAGGGATGGGCCCAACTGAAGCTCATCCTCTGGGGTGGGGGCACCCCATCTTCTTCCAGTGCGGAGACGATCAACGACGGGCAGTTCCACACTGTGGAGCTGGTCACCTTCGACCAGATGGTGAATCTCTCCATCGATGGCGGCAGTCCCATGACCATGGACAACTTCGGCAAGCACTACACACTGAACAGCGAGGCCCCCCTCTACGTGGGAGGTGAGGACCTGCCCCACCCCAGGCCTCTCCTTTGGCGGGGGGGGCGGGGGGTGATAGCCTTTCCAGGTGGGGCCCTCCTGCTCTCTGGCCAGGGGCGGGGCCCAGGGCACAGGACTGTGGGGAACATCGCAGGTGGTGGGGGAGGGTCTAGTGACCGGCCCAGCTGCAGGTGGATTGCGTTCCCTTGCCAGGAGCCAGGCTGCTACCCCCAGCCCACACTAACGAGGGAGGAGAAGTGCCTGCGTGGGGACGGAGGCCTGACCCAGGCGGGGGAGGGGAGGGATGGGACGTGCTGGAATTCCCCCGGCTGTCCTCTACACCGTGAGCATCTTTCTTCTTGGCTTTGGGCCAGAAGGGGCTTGTTCAATGTTCAGGGTCCATCCCCAGTCTTGGGCCCTCAGAGGCCCAGAGCTGCTGCGGAGGCCCAGGCCCAGGTCCCCGCATGAGCTGGGGAGTGCCCAGCTGGCCTTCCAGGCTTTGCAGCTACCTGGCCCCGTCCACCACCTGCGGACATTTCCAGTCCAGAAAGCAGGTTCCCGAAGGCAGTGGGGTCGTCTCAGCGCTGTGCAGGGCCTGGCCTAGAGAGTGGGCAGGTGGGAGGGATGAGAACCTGGGGTTACTAGTTGTGCAACTTCAGGCAAGTCACTGAGCATCCAATGGGGTTTAGCAGCTCCTACCTCGGAGGGTTGCTGTGAGTGGTGACCACAAAAGCAGGTGACAAAGTACCATTCACCCAAGTTCCAGGTCCCAGTCCTTTGCTGCCTTTGGGGCCTCTGGGAGGTAAGGACAGGTGTCCCCGAGGGAAGGAAGAAACCCTGGGCGAGCGCAGCCAGACTGAGGCACCGGGCCTCACGGGTCAGCTGGCTGCGGCCAGACTAGCACCCAGCCCTGGCCACGGGAAGGCAGCTTTTCCTTTTCTTTGGGGGAAGGAGTCTGCACCCTTCACGGTGGCAGAGGACTTGGTTCAGGGTTGCAGAGACAGGACAGAGGCCACGGGCAAGAGGGAACACGGTGCAGGTGCCCACAGACCTCAGAGGGAGGTGCCGGGCACCGCCTGAGCCTGGCCAGCTCAGTCTGCCCCCTCCCCACCACCCAGGGATGCCGGTGGACGTGAACTCGGCCGCCTTCCGCCTGTGGCAGATCCTCAATGGCACCAGCTTCCACGGGTGCATCCGAAACCTGTACATCAACAATGAGCTGCAGGATTTCACCAAGACACGGATGAAGCCGGGCGTGGTGCCGGGCTGCGAGCCCTGCCGGAAGCTCTTCTGCTTGCATGGCATCTGCCAGCCCAACGCCACCCCCGGGCCTGTGTGCCATTGCGAGGCCGGCTGGGGGGGTCTGCACTGCGACCAGCCAGCTGACGGCCCCTGTCACGGCCACAAGTGAGCCCGCGCTGGGCTCAGGGAGCCCTCACCCCTTGCCCACCTGCAGGTTCCCTTCCCTTCCTTGCAAGTTCCCATTCCCTGGGGTGAGGAAAGAGAATAGCTTTCACGCCCAAGATCAGAACATGTGGCCTAGCAGGGTTTCATTACATTTTTCTGGGTTTCTATTTTTATGAACAGGAAAGGTCTGTAGGGACAAGCACAGACTCACATTTTGCTTCCTCGGGAAGCAAATGTCTCCATCTTGGGACCAGGCTAACACCCGTGACGCCGAGGCTGGGGGTGGGGCGCCCTGGGTGGGCCTTGCCTGGGCTCTGCCTGTCCTCAGAGTGTTTTTCTCTGTTCCCCCAGGTGTGTCCACGGGAAGTGCGTGCCCCTCGATGCCCTTTCCTACAGCTGCCAGTGCCAAGAGGGGTACTCGGGGGCCCTGTGCAACCAGGCCGGGGCCCCCGCAGAGCCGTGTGGGGGCCTGCAGTGCCTGCACGGCCACTGCCAGGCCTCGGCCGCCAAGGGGGCGCACTGTGTGTGTGACCCTGGCTTTTCAGGCGAGCTTTGTGAGCAAGGTCAGGGGCCCCCCTCCTGATGTGTCCTCTCCCAGGGTCCCTCCCCACGACTGGCTTTAGCAACTTGGCTTTTTTCTTCCTCTCAACCTCAGCAACCCCCTCTGTGCCCCTGCCCTTCCTGCA